TCAAATATATTGTTTTAAGTAATGTCTTTAACTCTAATATTAAATTTCTTCATTGGATAGGTGATATGGTTCCCACAACATTTGTTGGAAAAGTGATAGCTTTCCCTGCGATGATGTGTGGCATCCTGGTAAGATTGTTAAATATATTTGGTTACCTTGAATATAATATAATAATAGTCGTCGTTATCTGATAAGTTCTATGATATTATACAGCTCATAGCGTTACCATCCATAATTGTTGGAAAAAATTTTACTTTAGTATGGGAAGCAATGCGGCAATACCGTCGTTCTAATGCCAATACACGAGTGAGTACACTACACTTTTCAATAAACTTTTTTTTCCATAGTGGTTCATCCAATTAATTATATCTTCTTTTCATAAAGGATCAAGCTGGTAATGTTGGTACAAACAATGAAGGTGAATATACAGGAGGTAAGTAATAAGATGCTTATAGATGATAATAAATAGTGCATTTATATAACCTTAATTGTCTAGGTACGGATTTGCGGACTAGCTTTGAAAGTACACACTCTTATATATCAAATATGCCTCGTGGTTATGATTCTATGAATGACGAGCTGGTTGCTAACCAAGATGCGTTGCTTGAACAAGTGCGAACTTTATTAAAAATTTCTCAACAAAATCAAGTTGCACTTGAAAGAATCCAACAGACATTAGAACAAAATGGTATGAAGGTCAATCCAGAAAAAAATAGTCCTAAAATTACTATACCTGAAAAGGGTACTACATCAGGAACCTCCTGATAATAAATAGATATAATGATTTAGATGATTTAGACAATTGTATTTTTAATACTAAAACCTCATTAACATTTATTCTTTGTGAATTTGGTCTTCATTATTGGGTTTTTTAAGCATTTCATTTTTGTCAAGAATTTAATTTTAGAAAAGATATTATAAGAAAAGATATTATAATTTTTAATTTAATTATTGGAACAAATGCCGGCATCGTATCATAAGTAACGTGACAGCAATATTATATTATTATTTAATTATTTCAATAAATTTTTACCGATGGTATCGCTATTTTGGTTGGGTTTTATCAAAATTTTTTATGATTAAATGCTGAATATTAAAATGAATAAACTACGACTTGTGTACGTACCTCTTAGGATAGATTAGTCGCGCAGCCAAAATTCAGTAGATTGGCGTCAGAATGCATCGGGGCCAGGCCGACATTATCTTACAACATATATACATTATGTAAAAGTTTAGTGATTTTGGCCGATAGTGAAAAAATCGGCTATTATCGGCTTAGCCGGTCGATTTTTTTAAAATCGGCTGATCGATTTGGTATGGTCAAAATAGAAATTTCCGATATCAGATCAAAGACATGTCCTCTTAGTTGTTGCTAAATATAATCAAATGAGTTGACTCACCCAAATTTATATGTAAAATTTGGCAAAAAAAACGCTTTTCTTTAATTTACTCAAGAAAGTAAATATAAAAAATAATTTTAAATATGGGACTTATATTTTTTAGCATTTAATAATTTTTTAACAAAAATTATAAAACTAAATTTATAGGAAGAAGTTCTGATTGGCTGATGTAAATCAATTGCCCGAGTAACTTATTTATATATTATACAGTACTTTTTTAGAACTGAACGTTTTACTAATAAAAAATCACCACAAGCCATTTCCAGCTTTGAATGAATGCTAACATTCACTATACAAAAGAATCTTAAAAGGATTTTACTTCTTGTGAACTTTGCATAGAAGACAAAATATAGAGTAGAGTTAATAGCAAAGAGACAAATTATTTTTAGTACAATTTTTTTAATTTTTAAATTAAAATATCTCAATAACTAATTAATCTAATTTGTTAAATTTTTTTTATTTTAATTTTGGAATTATATAAAATTAAAAAAAAAAATTATAAAATTTAATAAAATAATACT